TGTTTTTTCTTTCTTAAGAAGGAAAGTCTTTTTCAAAGATTCTATAAAAATTTATATGTGAAATCGAGATAGTTACCTTTCAGAAAACTCAACGATAGGAGGAATTTATTCTTCTGAAAGTAAATATTTTGTGGTTTATTAACAATTGCATATTCTCATTCTGGTAATTGAGTACTTAGCCATTTTGAATTGATCTGAAGTTATGAAAGAAATTCTACGGACAGGAAAATAAACAGCAACAATTGATAAATATGAATCGAATTTATTCCCTCACAATGTTATATGCATACAAAAGAATACAATAAATCCAAACCAAGAAAAAAAAAAAGTAATAATCCATAGGACTCACATAATTATATCATAACAAATCCATACTCGAAAACCCAAAATCAAAAGAAGAGGAGAAAATAGTAAAGGAAATCAAATAACTCAATGCCTCAACAGAGCGAAAAGTGAGAACAAAACAGATGTCCCAATGACGGCGCTGGAGACTGTCAAAGAGAATGCATCTCCGGCATCGGGAGTCGGATCTGGTGACTGATCAGAGACAGTAACAGCCACGGCGTATAGAGCGACGACAGCGTAGGCTAGCACTAGCAGGAAGGAAATTTGCTCCATTGTGTTGTTCGAAATTTGCAAGCAAAAATAGAAACAAAAATTGTATTAAGCGAGAGAGAGAGAGAGAGAGAGAGATTTGCGGTGTTGAAAGTTGTTTAGTTGTGGTGTATTTTATAGAGGGTAGTGGGGTCCATTGACAGCTGGTGACAGAGATATAATTGGTTAGAACGTATGAATCACAGGTCAGAATTTGAATATGAAAACGCTGGAATTGATTTGATATGCCGGTAACGGCATCGAATAGGAATTGCAAACGTGTCCTCTCTTAACTGGAAATATGCTGCGCTGTCTGGAGACTCTTGTTTTTCTTTCCCTGGGAATTAAAAATCATTAGGCATATGTATTCTTTCGAAACTCATTTTTATTCACGCACTTTTCAATAAAATAATATTTTTCATCACATTAATAATTTTTTCTTACTTTTAACTACATATTTCTCATCATATCACTATTTAAAATACATTCTTTCATCAATAATATCCATCAAACACACCCTTAGAGCCAGTTTGATTCACATTATTGTAGAATGAGAATGAAAAATATAGTTGTTATTGGGCCCCACAAAAGAAATAGTAATTCAAAATTGATGGCTTGATGTGATAGATAACGGTCATATTTTTCATTTTTATGGATGGAAAATGAGAAACAAACGGGGTGTTAGTATATGAATTTACTACGATTTTTCTAGTCGATTCGTGGTTAAAGATATATGCCTTGTTTGGTTGAGATTAAAATCATATTTTTAGTAGATTTTGATAAAAAATGATGAAATTTGTGATTGAAAAGTCGTGGATCCCATAAAATATATGATTAAAATTAGTTGTTAACTTTATTTAAATTAAAATCTGAATTTTAATTTCTACCAAAAATGGACGTAGTTTTGATTAACACTAATGCTACTCAAAGGGATAGGGAATTTACTCGGGCTTGATTTGAATTGTTTAAGTTGTAATTCAAATCAAGGACTGGGGTGGATGCACTTCATCCGTTGTTTAAATTTCTCGTCCCCAGCCCTGTTTGAGTAGCATGGCTCTTTGATTAATAAGTAAATTTCAAGCTTCTGCTTTTGCTAATTATTATCAGGGGCAGGGCATGGCAATTGGCAAATGCAAGTTGCAGAGGACCTGAGGTTCCAAAATGTGCCATTTTTCATGAATTGCAACGAAAATGGAATAGACAGACGGATTCACGTTCTTGTGGGATCCTAAAATGTTCAAAAACAGGTAGGCTGCACATCTCAATCAAACTCATACAGTTCACCTACCCAGTTGTGCTTGCGTAAGAATTTTTTTTCTATTATTTAAATTACGATTTTGGCAGATTTTATTGCTTGTCAACTCGACTATTAAGTCTTTTCGGTCACTGATGTTTGTTGAAAAATCACAATCTCGAAATGAGTCCATTTTGTTCCGACGATTTGAAAAAGAGGACGGGAAGCGATTAATGATGTTTGCTGGAAAGTTGCGGCCATTAGAATGAATCCCTCCGTTTCGATTACTTGAAAAAGAGGGTGGGAAGCGATCATTGAAATGACTGTCTTTACTCATGTCATCAAAACAGAGGAATACATTTAGATGATTGCTATTTTTCAACGAACATCAATCACGCAAAATATAAAAATAAAAAATCAAGTTAGACTCTTTTGAGAATTTTTTTTTTTTTTTTTTTTCAGGTTAGACTTCTTTATTTTTATTGTCACCAAAGTTGATATTTTTTAATAAAAAAAATAAATGAAGGACGTGTCATGAAAATAAATATTTAGAAAGGTTTATACTATTTTGGGCAAGCTTGAAAAATATTCTATCCGTCTCATTTTTATAAGTTCAATTTCCTTATTTTCTTGTCCAAATTATATAATTTTGTTTCTTTATTAATAATGTTTTGTTTGGTTCGTTTACTAATATATCCTTATTTTTTTTACTATTTTTCAATAATAATTTACTATTAGTTATTGATAATTAAACCCCTGTTTGAGCCTCATTTTTGTACAAAAAATTTATTTTTGAATAGTGTTTTGTTTGAATTTGTGTGGTTAAAAGGTAAAGAAATTTTTTCGATTTACATGTAATATTATTTTATAAGATAATGTGTGGTTGAAAACGACTGTTCAAAAAATGAATTTTTGAAAAAATTGAGGCCAAACATAAGTTAAATGAGGATAAATTGGAAAAGTTTATGGCAAAAATTACTTTTTCAATAATATTAAATAAGATTTTTTAATACGTGTGAAAAATAAAACAAACGTATATAAATAAGACGGATGAAGTATTTTTTGAGTTGAGGATAATAAACAATTATTCATGTAAAAATAATTTTGGCCAAACATGTCGTTTAACTCAAAATGTTTCAGAATCTTTCCCCACCCCACCAACCCAACCACCGCACGCAGCTTTACGCCCTTACCAAGATACCTTCTCTTCGCCTCTCAAATTACTCCAATTATCTCTCGAGTTAAGGTATTGTTGATACTTATTCTTAGTTTTTCTCATATAATTCGACTCCGTTATAATGATTTGTGCTATTTTTTTTATAATTGTTTTGGTGTAAAAGTTGAATCGTTTTCCCTTTTTGTTTTTCTAGTGGTTCTGGAAATATTCTAAAATTCTGGGTGATTTTACGATTGATCTGCCAAAAAGCTCTTCATTTTCTGATTTACAGGTAAGTTTTTCTTTATATTTTCATTTCTATTTATTCTTCTTCTCCTACTTTTTTTTTAGATTGATTTTGATGTTCATATACTTGTGTGAATAGAATACTAAATTTTCGACTTTTCTTAATACTTATATGGATATTTTTTATATTGAGTTTTTCCCGTACTGAACAAAGTTAATTCTAATTGTTAACGAGTATGCGACTGTATTATTTGGATTTTTGGAGTAAAAGCATTTTAAAAAGTCGAAAGTTTGAATTTGCCGAATAATTGAGAGAATCGCGTGCCAGATTTATTTATTTTTTTAAATTTTGACCATGTAAGCATGCCCTTTTTCTGGGAATTCTTCAAAAAAAAATTAATGTTCATTAAAAGCATTATAGTGTTAACTTTAATTAATGATATATTTGGAGCATCTTGCTTTGATTAAAATTTACTTTTCTTGAAGTTAATACTAAAAGTAGGTTCTGTCAATACAAAAAGTAGCTTTGAAAATCAATTTTTCAACAAATTAAGAAATTTAAAAGTAAGTTTAGCGTACTTATAAGCACAACTGAAAGTGCTTATCTGGTTTTTGTTCAAATCAAATCAAATGGAAAGAATCCTTCTGTATTTTACTTTGTAGGATGCTGATATATTTGGTATGAATGAAAACAATGTTGAAGTATATTTAATATGCTGTAAGATGCACCCGGCTAGCCGGATATTCTTTATCGTCGTTTCATTACATTACTGAGAACGATCTTTACTTATACATTCCCAATTTATATTGTCTTGTGGCGAATTAATCTGATACTATGGATGGATAAATGCTGTAACGCATAAACGTTACCAAAAATTTGATTATTAGCTGGTCGAACAACTATGGTGTTATAACGTGTTCAATACTACGAGTAGCGCCCCTTCTTGAACCTCATCCCTACTTGAGTTTTAGGTGTGAGATGACATTAGTTGTCTAGCCAACATTGACTAATCTTAATATCTTATATTCGGTAATGTGGTTGGAAATACAAGTCTGCTGTGTGTAGGGGCGGGGCTTGCATTATTTTCTGTCTCTAAAGTTTGTATTCTTACAAAACTTAGGATGCTTGCATTATTTGCAAATGCCACCTAGTTTAGTAATTCTTGTTGTCGCCCTATGCAGACCTTGAAACAATGAACTCCTGATTATTTGATCCAGTGAACTGTATCGGTGCGGTTTATGCTGTATTGAAAATTGTTTAATGTCCTTTATTCAGTAAGTTTGTAAAAGACCAATTGGAAAAGTTGAATGGTGGAATTTACAACAAATGGACAGAGAGTGAAGTCTCGTTTACTGTTAGCAAACTCGGCTATATGAAACAACATGCTATTTACTTGTTTTATCTTTTCACATATATTTTCTGCTCTGTATTCTGGCGAATGACAGAATTTTTGCAATAATGGAGTCTTCGAAAGAGACTGGCTGCCAAGCGCCAGAATGCCCCATTCTTTGCATCAACAACTGTGGCTTCTTCGGAACTGCGGCTACCATGAATATGTGCTCCAAGTGCCACAAAGACACGATTATGAAGCAGCAACACACCAAACTTGCAGATTCTTCCATTAAGAACTTGGTTAATGGTGTCTCAGGCAGTAATGTGAAAGAGCCTGTCATGACTGATGCAACGGATGTGCATGCTGGAGCAGTGGAGTCGAAGGCCGCATCTAAACACACGTCGTCTGATTTATATTCAGGTCAGAGTTCAGAAGTAAAGATGAAAGACGGCCCAAACAGGTGCACTGCTTGCCATAAGCGTGTGGGTTTAACAGGTTTCAACTGCAGGTGTGGCAATCTCTTCTGTTCAGTTCATCGTTACACTGACAAACACGATTGCCCGTTTGACTACCGGATGGCTGCTCAGGACGTTATAGCGAAAGCAAATCCTACTGTTAAAGCGGAGAAGCTCGATAAGATCTAGCAAGCAGGACGATTAAAAGTTTACGAACCCAAGTATGATGCTTTCCTTAAACATATGTGCCTCTCTGTGTAAGTAGCGACGTGTGATGTTGGATGGCATAAGGCAAGCAGTTTGGGGCATCGTTGTGATCTTTGGACTTTGGTGTTGTCGATCGGTCAGAGTTATGTTGGTTTGTTTGTGTATATGTTGTGGAATTTATGTTAGCGCATATCATTATTGTGTGTTCTCCATTATTGTTGCACGTCACGTTTTGTGCTGCATCGATGTACATAGCAATCGAAAATTATTACTGACATGCAAATAATAAAATCCATTAACTGGATAGCTCATCCTTCTAACTATGATGATTTCGTCCAGCCCGACTGAGGACCTTGGGCTTGCCTCTAGATCTCAGACCACAATCCAAATTGAAGGGCCTATGCTAAGCTGATTGGCCCAAGTTCATATGATACACGATATTATACTGTACATGATTTTAGTTTTTCTTTATTTTTTCTCAAATTAGCATGCAAGTAGTCTAATCCACCTTAGAGAACAACAACCATATCAATATTAGATGCATAGTTATTAAAATGAATTAATTCCGAGGTTGTTTGACAAAGTTTTTGATAAAATCTTTAACATATTTCGATAAAAGTTGATGAAATGTATATATCGTTGATAAAAGTTATGGATCTCATGAAATGTATAGTCAACCGATAATATTGTCATGTTACAAATTAATTCACAATTATTTGAAATAAAGAACAAACTATCATTTTAGAGAATCACCAAGTTGTCTTACCTGCCAATAGATAATGCTTGTCAATAGATAGTGTCAATTCAAAAGATTGATGAAATCTCAAGACGGATTGTCTCTGGGTGTCTAGTACTCACTTATAGAGACACTATATGCAAATGCAATCATATAATTATGCGGAAACCAAGAATCGTTACAATTCAAAGTGGATGTAAGACACAGTCCTAAAAGAACGAAGGTCCAGAAGCACAATCTTTCGCGAATTCAATGCTGTGAAATCCAATACTAGAAACAAGTTTGTTGAAATCCTAGAAACACAATATCTATAGAGTGGTATTTCCCCACTAAGAATTCAGTAAGTAACAACTCTGCATTCCACCAATTACAGCAACACCTGATAGGGAAACTTCCCAAATATCCAGATTGAACAAGTAAATACCATTTAGTTATATAAAAGGACGATCGAGGTGATGTTTCTATAGATTAAAAAATGAACAACATTGAAAATCTTGGAGAACAAGACCTTAATGAACATAACAAACATGCTAAAACTACAATATTATTGAACCAAAATTACAGCTGGAAGCTCAAGGTTGGTGATCTAATGTTAAGACACGAACAATCTAATGAAAATGGCGTACAGGATGACAACAAGCTGCCCTATTTCTTGATTGAAGCCAGTCTCAACTCTGCACGCCTACTCCTGTTCTCTGTCTTTGTGCTTCTTCCTTTTCTTCTCCTTCTTTGCACTTCTATTTGCATCATCATCAGGTAAAACAGAGTTGCCATTCTCTGCATCCTTGTGCTTCTTCTTTTTCATCTTTTTCTCGGACTTCTCCTCATCTGACGACCCAGAATCGGCATTGGCTTTATCCTTCTTTTTCTTATCCTTTGTTGGCTTCTCACCACTACCATCAACAGCATCGTCACCACCCTCATTTTTCTTCTTCTTCTTCTTCTTCTTCTTCTCAACTTCCAGAGTCTCAACCTCATCTACCTTCTTCAATTCAACCTTCTCTTTCACCTGCACGTTCACTTCAGCTTCCAAAGAGACCTTAGCTTTCTTAACAACATCTGGCACAGGGCAACCATCAACCTCATCTAGTTTGCGCTTCCGTCCCTCCTCTCCATCCTCCTTGTGCTTGTGTTTCTTTTTCTTTTTCTTCTCAACCTCGTCCACAGCACTCACCACATTTGTCGGAGCAGCTGGCTGTGGCTCTGCAGCTGCTGCAAGGCCAGCAACCATAGAGTCACCTCCAGTAGGCAGGACAACATTCCTCAACCACTCAGCTGGGGTATTCTCATTTGGTTTTCCGTGCTTATCCAACTTCCCCTCTACAATCAGTTTCTTCTTCATTGATGCCCTCGGTCCCAACCCCCATTTCCTGGGATATGTATCCCTATCCATTACCACCCTCTTAATCCTTGCAACCGTTCCATGGTCGCACGTGGCCATCACTGCAGTTGTCATCTCTGCAATCCCCAAAGCAATTGCCTCACCCTTGGTAGTCATCAACACAACTTCCTCTCCAACGTCAATATCATTCTCAAACCTCAACAACCCCGGAATCATCAGCTTCGCACCGTAACAAATAGCATTCACCGCAGAATCCTTCACCACTAACCTCTTATAACTAGTCAAAACCACTTCCAATGGCATAATCACCCTCCTCAAATAATTCTCGTCCCTATAATTATCATACATCCACTGTGCATCCATGACATCGTGCATTGTAACCATGTTATCCTTCTCCCCCAAAATCCCCGACCTCACTCTCCTAAGTTCCTGCATATGCCCTCCTACACCCAACAAAAGCCCCAAATGCACACACAGAGTCCTCACATAAGTCCCTGCCTCACATGAGATCCAGAACACAACCAAATGCCTATCAGCATCATACTCCAGCAACTTACTCTCATAAATGGTCCTAATCCTAAGCTGTCTCTTCACAGCAGAAATAAGTGGGGGACGCTGAAAAACCGCCCCCGTCAAAGTCTCCAGCGCCCTCGCCACTCTCGCAACCTCAGGCACTTTCGAATGCAATCTTGCAATACAAACATACTCTTTCCCAGCCCCCTGCTGAGATTTAACCAAACGCGTAGCTCGATCAATACAAACAATCAAATTCCCAGTAACTTTCGGGTCCAAAGTCCCCGAATGGCCGGTTTTCTCAACTCGTAAAATGCGCTTAATCCAAGCCACAACTTCATGGGACGAAGGGTTTGCAGGCTTATCGAGATTCAAAATACCATATTTAACATACTCAGGCAAGGGGCGTTTCAAGGGGGAGTAACCGGAGGGGAGTGGAGTGTAGTGCCCAGTACGTACATTCAATTTGTCGTAGTTTTTCAGCAGAATCGGCCACTGGGAAGTGTCAATGGCGGGAGTGTAGCTCTGGGGCTTTATCAAAAAATCAGTGGTCTCCTTTTCATCAGTCGTGGGGCTTATCGGGTCGGATTTTTTAGATTTGTTTGCCTTCCTCTTTGTCTCGGAGCGTGATACCTGAACATCAGCCATGGCTGTGAATGGGGTGAAAAGGGAGTGTAAAATGGACAAATTAGGATTTTGTTATTATATTATTATTATTTTGGGAGGAGCCAAGATTGCATTTTGCAGACAAACTGGTAGGGTTTTGGGTGCCTAGAAATGTATTTCTGCTAGGGTTTTGAGCGAGCGAATGAGAGGGGGAAACGGGTTGATCGATGTAGACCCGAGCCCATTGGTGAAATCCGGACCTCAAGTGTCTTGTGTGGAACAACTTAGTTGGAGGGAAATCTCTGGAGGAATTTTTTACTTTTACTATATAAGTAAAAATGTGAAAGTTAAAAATAAGTAAATTTGATGGCAAAACATTCTCAACTTTGTTCAGCTCCAAAAATAAGTCCACATTCGGGCCACCTTCCCTACAGGCTGAAACTCGCCGATGGAAAAATACCAGAAAAATGCATAAATTAACCGATTGCAATTCTGAAATTCTCAAGATTTAAAGGTCTCTAGTATGATAATTACACGGCGCTCAAAATAGGATTCCTGTATTTGGATCTCCTTAAAACCCTTCAACGAAACCCATCAATGATCTGAATTTTCCGTCAGCAATTTTCCAGGTAATTGGTATTATAAAATACTTCCCTTTTCATATATTAAGCACAACCCGTTATTTAAATCTTAATTTTATCCAATCCCTTTTGATTTTGAACCGTATTTTCCCAAAAGATAACTGCTTTTGGTTTTCATTTCAATTTAATTTCCATTTATATATTGTCCTTCTTCTATTGATTTATTTCTAATGTCTTCTAGCCGTACCAATAAAGAAAAAGAACAAATATGAGTCAACCATCTGTGGTTCTTGCTACAGCGAGCTATGACCACACCATTCGATTCTGGGAGGCAAAAAGCGGGCGGTGCTATAGGACCATCCAGTATCCAGAATCTGTATGCTTCTCTAATTTTTGTCCTTTTAGTTTCTCAGCTTTCTTTTTTTTTATATATAAATATTATTTTTCCTTGTTTTAATTGATGTTGTGGTTGAAGTTGTTGGGGTGTGTATATTAGTACTCTCAAGGTTCTGTAAGTTTGATATTTTATGGTATATAATGGTGTTGAATTTTATAAAATGTGATCCTAGATGTGTACGGATTACCTTTAGACTATACATTATACAAGTTCAAAGTGAAATGTTTAATTTTGAGAAAATGGCTGGCTTTGGCTTTCAGTTTTTCACATCATTCTAACGGAATTTTTAGCCTTTTTCCTTGGTTGCAACACATTGATGATGCTCAACCATCCAGACCGATTTTTCTATAAAAATCATGTCTGCATACTGCTTGTATTATGCAATTCTTTTGCAATAAAATTTTATATTCATTTGTGTTGGTGACTGAACTCGTAATTACTTTGGAATAATCTCGATAGTTAAAGCCCCAAATCACAGTACCAGGACGGACCAGAGGCTGAACTTACAAGCTTGGCCATGTACCGCTGTCATTTGTAAACATCATCATTACCCTCTGAAGAGGTGTTCCCAAAGATGTCATTATCTCCTAGCCAACTATTTTTTAAAGGTACACATGTCGCCTCTGATGTTGACACCTCTCCATCCACCAATCAAGATACAACAATGATTGTGTAGGCCACAGGCCATCATGACTTAGGCCACAACTATAACCTAGACAGAATCATCAGTTACCCAGCTGAACTCAGTGGCCAATCAAAAACCTTCAATCAGGCCGATGGCACGCATAACAAGGTCGACATTGTAGGTGATGTGACAAGAGGCGACAAACACTTGCGTTGAAATGCTTATAAATAGGGCAATGGTCCCCTCCAAAAAAGGGAACTAATCCAACTCATTGTAATACGCTCTCAAAACAATCTTCTATAAAATCACTCTTTTTACAACATTCCAGCTATTGTCCTGCTAAATGTACCTTGAGTTGATCTAATTTTGTCATGTCCCTTTTAGTCAACAATTTGTTTTATGGGTAACGTACTTATATGGTGATTAGTGAATACCATTGCTTCTTTATGTTGTACATTCATGAATATAATGTATATACAACATACCTCTTTATAGTTTTCTCATGAGTTACAGTGGAATCCATTAATAGAGATTCCACTTGTATGAAATGTATGATTGTGTCTTACAACAGTAAAAACAAGGGTAATCTATGAGGATTGAGTATTTTCTTAGTTAAATCTGATGCATCCATCTTTTTTTGAACAGCAAGTGAATCGGCTTGAGATTACCCCAGATAAACGCTACCTGGCTGCAGCTGGAAATCCTCATATTCGGTTATTTGACATTAATTCAAATAGCCCTCAGCCTGTACATTTCTGTCTCCAATTCTGATTTCTCTTTTTAAATTTTCACTCGTTGCCTTCTGCTAATTTTTGTGGTATCTTTTACTGTGGCAGGTAATGAGCTATGATTCACACACCAATAATGTTATGGCAGTTGGATTTCAATGTGATGGAAATTGGATGTATTCAGGGTCTGAAGATGGCACAGTGAAGATTTGGGATTTGAGGTACAGGAAGTTTAATTTTGATAATTCTCTCTTTTTTGATGTTGATTGTAGAGTGTGTTTGAGCCCCATTTTTGTGAAAAATAAGTTTTGCAATAGTTATTTTTTTGAAGAATGTATGGTTGAAAGTAAGGAGAAGTTTTAGGTTTACATGCAAAATAATTTTATTGGAAGAATGGTTGGTTGAAAATGAGTTTAGGAAAATGAGTTTTTAGAGAATGGGGGTCAAACAGGGGCTTAATCTTCTCTTTCGCTGGATGATGTAGGGCACCAGGTTGTCAGAGGGAATATGAAAGTCGCGCTGCAGTTAATACTGTTGTGTTGCATCCAAATCAGGTGATCTTTAACAATGTCTTTCTTTATTTCAATGGATTTATATTTTGGCTAAAAATTATGAATTCTTTTAAGTTTGTGAGAAGGGAACTGTTTCCAGATTAACAGTGGTAACTTACAATGCGTTATGTTTTATGATTCTTAATTTAGTTTATCGAGGGCCTGTGGAATTAAAACTGGCACTCTCCCCTCTGTCATATGTCCTTTGCAGTTCTAGTTACCTGTTCCATATATTGGGTCTTCAATTATTTTCTTTCTTGTAGATATATAGGCTTTTTGTTAAAGTGGGAAAGTTTTTCCTAGTTAATATTGCTGATGTCTTTCTTGTCCTGTTGTAGAGAAAATTAGTGGGTGAATTGATCTTTCAGGCTGGTATTTAAATGGACACATGTTGGTTTTGCCACTATCTTCACGTTGGTTTAAATGGAAGATATGATGACTTAAATAGACTATAAAATTGCATTTCTTTGGTATTACTATAATGTGTAATCATGTCTCCGTGGAAAATTTATTACATGTCCTAGTGTCAGCTAGATTTAGCATTTTTAGATTCATAAGTTGATACTTTGCCTTATATTCCTTTATTGATTTACAGACCGAGCTGATATCTGGGGACCAAAATGGCAACATTCGTGTCTGGGACTTGACAGCAAATTCATGCAGCTGTGAGTTGGTAAGTTGCTAACATTTTGCCTGCAATTGTATACGAGTTAAGCATTAAAACTTGGCATCATGTTTCATTTCTTAAATGATTGCAAGTTTTTACTGGGGTTAAGTACATAAACCTCTCCTATGGTTTATACATTATATAAAAAGATCCTTTGTGAATTTGTATTTCCTGTGTCCTCCCCTTGAATTATCCTTTTCCATAACGTACTTCCTCTTGTTGATTACCATCACGTGTTACTTTCCAGTGCAAGGAAGAAAAATGTAATTACCAGAACCACAGGGGTTCTTATTGCATATTTGGCAAACCTGGGGGGAGTTAATTGTGATTAACCTTTCGAATAAATTTTGCAGTAGAATACACTATAAATGCAAAGCTGTAAGCAGGGTATTTTCTGGAGTTCTTTTCATTATGGGGCAGACTTGACTTGATCGTAGTAATTTATCATCTCATAAATTGTAAAGTAGTAACTTTTTCTCGTGCGGGGTGGCAGGCAAATTCGATAATCTTTAAACTATATTTTCAGGTTCCTGAGGTGGATACAGCTGTACGATCTTTGACCGTGATGTGGGACGGAAGCTTGGTAGTGGCAGCAAATAATCGTGGGACATGTTACGTTTGGCGCTTGTTGCAAGGGACCCAAGTAACATTTAGATGCATTTAAATCTTTTCTTTGGCATGGGATCTGCAACGGGCAATTTGATGTGATTTTGCACTCTATTGCAGACAATGACCAACTTTGAGCCTCTTCATAAGCTGCAGGCTCATGATGGATACATTCTTAAATGTCTCCTTTCCCCTGAGTTGTGTGAACCTAATCGGTTAGAATCTAATACCGCCTACGAGGCACTCATCATCTCATTGATTTTCCATAAATTGTTTTTGGCTTTTCTTGCTTTAATCTTCTCTCTGAAAGTGGTATTTTGTTATTCAGATGTTGAACCTGTTTTTCTCACTCCACTTTTTTTAAAATGTGATTTTAGGTATTTGGCTACCGCATCTGCTGACCATACTGTGAAAATATGGAATTTAGACGGCTTTACCTTGGAAAAAACACTAGTCGGTATATACTAGATGATCCTTACGTACCGGCTGCAACAGGTCTTAGAGCATGTTTGGCTAAGCTTAGAAAAGTTAACTTATAAAGAATTTTTTTACTATCGATCAAGGTTAGAAGTTACTAGTTTTGACATAAGGTAAGAGCTAATTCCAAAATAACTTTTTTTGCTTAAAGTACAAGGTGATAAAATTAAGTAGAAGTAACTTTTACTTCTTTTTTTTAAGCTTGGCCAAACATACTCTTAATTATGTAAATCTGTTCACCATTCTTTATTTTTGATCTTGATGAGTTTCCAGGGCATCAGCGGTGGGTTTGGGACTGTGTTTTCTCGGTGGACGGTGCCTTTTTAATCACAGGTATTCTTTGGAAGCGTCCAAATATTTATGTAATGGATAGTACTTAGCTATAATCTTGCTTACAATTAGGCTTTTAGCAATAAAATGTTTGAAAGTCAAACTATGACATGTTTGGTAAGGAGGATAGAGCAAGTCTCGACGCTATTAAGAAAAAAAAAGAAGCTAAAATCTTGTTAATTATATTCTTCAGTCCCATCTTACAAGCATGTAATTAATGGATACTGGCAGCATCCAATCGGGAAAAGCTCGTATATTCTATTAACTGAACCCGGGGAATAGACCAGTTCAGACGCTGGTACTTGTTATCCTTTACTAACGAACTGGTGTATCATTTGCAATATTATCATGATAACCTAATTGACACTGTAATGTTTCTAACTTACAATATCTTAAATCATAAGAAACTCCGTCAGCAAAATTACGTCCTGATACCCGAGGTGGTCTGTGAATATGAAATTGTGCTAAATATGATAGGTAACTACACAATTTCATCTTTTCTTTGACACAAAATTTCTCAATTATGCAGCTTCCTCTGATTCAACAGCAAGATTATGGTCCATGTCTAATGGTGAGGAAATCAAAGTGTATCGAGGGCATCAAAAAGCAACTGTATGCTGTGCTCTTCATGATGGGACCGAACCTTCTTCATGCTGAACCTAGAGGGCATGTTTGGTGTACTGCATAGTGCGCAGTTCAATGAACGGGATTTTAGCTTCATTTTCATTTTAAATATTGTTCAACATTGTCTAATCCCTCACCAAACATGCCAAGAATGAAGAATGTACTTCCTCCATTGCACAGTGAAATATTCTACTGCAATCCTGAGGCTGCACTCCTTACAGAATGTCTCTTACTAGTTAGTTTGATTTCGAGTTTCGCCGTTTCGCTTGTATGGTTGTTTTGTGAATATTACATGGTTTCAACTTATTTAACTGTTTAACAGCACAATTAGTTAATTGGACTCGAACTCTGTTTTGATGATATCTATTTATGCTCTCATTTTTAGGTGTAATGTGAAGCCATTGCTATTTGGCATATGTGGCATTTTCTTTCCATTTTTATTTTTAGTAGGGACTGATGAGGGATGCTTCATCTCTTCCACCCCCACCGACCTAAAAAGACGAAAAGAATTTAAAATCTTGTGCACTTTAAGATTCGGTCAATATTGCATACCAAACATATACATTCATACGAATACCATGCAAGAAACTAATGAAAATCTTTTTCCATACAAGAATCAAGCACAAGCAAGTCATCAAGTAACACATTTGGCTCAAAGGGCCAGTGCTATATGATTATCCAAGAAATACACTGTAGTCGTTAACTGCAGCTTATCTTGTTATTACCTTAAAAGACTCCCCTCTGGCGTTGATGGGATGGCCTAGGCAGATCATTCCGACTAAGAGAACTGAATCAAGATTTGCATGAGAACTGTGACAATTGCCAATCCCATTGCTGAAGACCTTTCCACGAGGATAGAAGTGATGATGTGGAAAAATTTATAGGCCCCGAATGTAAGTAAACTCGCCCAAGAAATAACCACCTGTTATGGCAGGAGAAGAAAGGTAATTAAATGTTTAGTAGAGAACCAGCGGAATTCAAATGAATTCATGCATATACCACAGGGGACTCCAGTGGCCAGCCAGTATCTTGCAATTGTTCGCCAAAGGAATTATCGGCTATATGCTTTTCCAGTAACTTATCCTGGTTAGAAAAAAGCAAAAAGAAAAACTGATCATGCTAAATTACTCCTTTGAGACACGATAAATGTTCTTTCTCTTTGAAGTGTTCTTCAAAATGACAAAAATATTTGAAAATTAGTGAACATCAAAACTGGGGATTCAATAATGTAGGACACACCTTGGCCACGAAGGCATCCCTACAACATTGCGCAACAGCATTGTCTGTTTCTGGCAAATCCTTCATCAAGTGCCTCTTGAGGTCCACATCAACCTGAACGATATAAAACAGGAGGTTGCCTCCAAACGACATTTTACAGCAAATTCATAACTTTTAAGGCCATGCTCGAGGATCGGACAAGGCTTACCACAGAAGATTGCCCTTTAAAGAGTCTTAGCATGGTGGGCGCAGGCAAAGTTTTAGGAATAGCAACAGTAACATCATAAATAGCTGGAACAAATGAGTGTGTGACTTACTGCTGTTACAAAACCCTGAAAATTGCAATGTACATCAAAATGGTGAAAAAAAGTAAGCATTTCGAAAAAATTACGGCACTGTAGGACAAAACACTGCAAGAAAAAAATGCAAAACCGGAACACAATACCAAGGCAAATGGAAGTACTCCATTTCAAGTTAGAATAGAAGATGAAAAAAAATTGTGTTGTAGCATTGGGTTATTATGAGAAGTTCCATTAAACTTTCTTCAAGATGTTGACACATCTGATTAAAGATGATGTTAAAAGGCTATATTATGTCATAATTGCATTCATCAACACACCAGTATGAGGCAGGTCTATAATTAATCAAGAGACTAAATGTCGAAAATTCATTTTTATATGTCTTGATGACAGCAAGAGAAAGTAAGAAATAAAATTACACTGAGAACAACAGATTAGCAGGAGAGGTAATAATTCTTTCATTGTAGAAATAGGCAAGTCCAGAAACCTTTGTACGAGGAATCAAAACATTTCTTGTAACAGGCAGTCCCATTGAGGCTGCAAATTCTTGAGCAGCTAAAAGTTTTGCCTGAGTGAAGCCAGTACCCTCAACAAAAAGTGCCAACCAGAAGGGGAGTGGGAAATCCCTAAACCGTTGAAAACCTAACTGCAATAGATTTCAGGAAAATCAGAAGTTCTAAGAAGCACAAAATTGAAGAGAAAGACTAGGTAGTATACACATTAGAAAAAAGATAGACATGCACATACAAAACTAAAATTAAGGAAAAAAAAATCTTAACTTTAAACATACCATACCTTTAGAGTGCTTTCATCCTTGGCCCAGCTTCTTTCAAGAAAGAGGTACTCAGAAAACCACATAGACCATCCTATCACCTGCATAATGCAGATAACAATATACTCATTCCCATGTCTTACTCTACCAGGGCCTCCAACAAAAGGCAAGAATATAACAACTTAAGAAAATGTAATAGATAGAAAGAATAGAATAGCTGAGCAGGGTAAACTTGGCATTTCTATTTGCTCAGTCATCAGTTGATAAGTACATAACTACGAAAACAAAAAAAATAGCATTAACTTCTTTCTAATAAGCCTCTAAGATCCTCTAAGATCGTCGCATCTGGCGCAGAATTATCTGATATGACATCGAGGGATTCTCCATCTCAATAACTCATTTGGTATTTTTTGTGAAATTTGATTACCTAGATGGTGAGGTGTGCAGGTATAGCATGGCGCATAAGACAGAAAGTGGCTGACGAATTCGGCTCGAGTCCTAATATAGAAGGAAAAATTGGAAAGCATCATGCAGAAGATGTGGTCGTAACTCATCTACGCGATGAGGATTATCACCAAGAATTGGCAAGTTTGATTTTCTGTGGGGTTATATGCCTGGGGACGGGTGGAGTGGACGAATGGAAAATGGTACCTTTCAGGTTGTTTCTTTTGATAGCACATAGTGTTAATTTGGACTCAACACTATAACAAACAAGTGACATTTACAGGATGCAATCTACTTGCCATATGAGAATGTGCTCAACTATGAAAGCTTTGCTGTTTGCAATCAAGAAGACAATATTCCAAATCTGATAAATATTCTTCGGATATTTTTACTTACAACCTTCGGTTAATAGTGGAAAGTTTCAAGTCTTGTGACTGATTTTGGTTTTAAACTTCCTGTAGAGAATCAACGAGGCAGAGATAGAATTCAAATTGGCAAATGCTAAGATCTGGCAGAGGTTCTTATATCGCGATTCTGTTTTGCTCGAAGCTAAAAGGCAAAACGCTACACTTGGTCTTGTTGAGGATTTGGTTGTAAAGTTCTCGCAACTAAGTGAAGACAATGTCTTTGCTACACTGATTTAGGTATCACGGCCCCCTCATGGTATGTTAGGTAAGGAATATTGGTACTGCACATTATAAAATAAGAAAAAGACGTTAAATTCTTGTTATCAAGTCACATAGTTCTTAAGATGATGGCTCAAGAAGACTTGTTTTTCAGCATAAATATCAAACGGTAAGTCCTTCAACCATGTCGATTAATATTTTTGAGTGGTTTTCAGATATTTGAGCAGGTCTTACGCTCAAGTTACATAATGACCCATGGAGATGACAATTTGATACTACGCAAAAACGAGTTCAATTTACCTTGAGAATGCTTGATAAGAATGTAGTTATTTGCTTTGACACAACGTGAGACTATTTCGAAGAGAGAAACTAGTGGAGACTGTTTATGGGCAACTGCTAGTCTTTCATCCCATGTTCCGAGTCTATTGAACACCGTCACACACCATGAAAGATATCTGCTTTATCCTAAACAAAATAAAAGAGGCAGTTTGAAATGCACNAAAATAAAAGAGCCAGTTTGAAATGCACTGTTCATGCCAGATGTCGTAAAAATAGATCGTCAACCATAACGACGCCGTATTTCCCAATTATATTTTCTTGTTGTTTTCCCTTTCATTTCCTACTGAAGCACTCTTTGCAAATTTACAACGTGCGATATTTCCTATTTTGTCGGCTTCAGAAGTCTCTGTTTCACTTTTGCAATAGTAAAAATTGTTGCTTGGCTTGTGTTTTACTGTCTCAATAACAAGAGTGTCAAAGCAACTCTCAGGTTTGTCTATTTTCTTTCTTTCAGTTCGGGGTTGGATGTATGATGTTCTCAATTTATGTTTTTTCCCTCATAGAGAAGTGTTTCTAAAAGTAAAGGTACGCTATTGTTGCACATGCACTGAGGCACCAGCGTGCCTCTGTGCACTTGCACGGACGCACGCTGCGCACGGAGGCATGCTGGTGTCGTACCTCCGTGAACGAGAACGGAGGCACGTCGTGCCTCCGTCCGCGTGCACGGAGGCACGCTGTCGCATCTCTACTTTTAGGTCATTGGATCTTGTTCAAGTGTATTTAACCCGTATTTGTGCAGAAAAATATTGAAAAATTCTATTATTGAGAGGTTTATTGATGTTTTATTTATATGCTAATATGATTTGTGGGTTTTTTATATTTTTGTTTGATTTGAAGTTGGAATTGGGATTAGGGTTGCTGTTAAATCAGAGTATAAAATTACACCATCAGTATAATTAATTTATATGTTTATTCTTAGAATTTAATGAATTTATAGCTTTGTTGTCTATAAAAAAAAATGGTCTGTCTAATACCAACTTTCAATTGCATATGCACATGATATAATTTGTAATAATTTTTGTTAATTTTGCTTTCTTTTTATTTTTTAATTTCAGATTGACAGTGCTAGAAACCATAGGATTCTTCTTGAAGCTGTTCAAGTTCTTACTGATTTGATTCTGTTGCTTAAGAAAGCTTACATTTCTTCTGATGGTCGGTGGTTCATGGATGGTAAGCTACTTTTTTTTGCTATCTTGTGCCTCGAAATTGTGGTTTATTAGCATTAAATATTTAATTAACAGGCTTTGGTGCCATTTCTTTGGTCTTCTACTAATTTTGCCGTTTTGTTTTCTTTAATTTTTGCAGTTTTCCTTGTGACTGATTTGGATGGAAACAAATTAACTAACGAGAATGTCCTCAATTACATCAAACAGGTTACTATCAATTACAACATACCTTTGATTGCTGATTTTATTATGTATGTATTTGATTGATTATGTCATTCTTCGATTCTTGTTGCATTTTTTTTTCATTTTCTTCAGTTGTATTGTTGAATGTTCCATTTTTTTTTCGTTTTTATTGTTTTAAAGTTATAAGAGATCGTTAATACTACAAACTTCAACAGCTATTGGAGTTTGCTGACTTAAGGTTCGTTGAATTTATTGTTAATTTTGTATCCTCAACATTATTGCAATTCCGGGATATATGGTAATTTTTAGATTTATTTGGTCATTCATCTATAAGAAGCATAAGCGATGGGAAGATCTACGATCATATAACCAAGACTCAGTATGATCATCATTGTTTGACTGACTGAACTTGGTCTTTTGGCACTAAGTATCGCTCACTATTGAAAATTATATTTCATTTTCAATGCCCTTGATTATGCAATTATAGCTGTTTTGCTTGATCACAATGCTTTCTGGTTCTAATGCTAGAATTTTTGTCGCATTTAAGTCCCTAATTGGGCAATTCTTTTGTGCATTATGCAAAGATAATTAAAAATTTTTCCTGATTTAGTAAACAATATATTTTGCACGTCAGTCTAATCCCAAACTCTTAATACGGAGGTGTAAAATTTTGATAAATCTGGATTAAATTCAATTGCACCATGAAATTCGGACTCAAAATGTTGAATTAAATGTTTGGCAATGCTTAAAATCCCCCCAAAAAAAACCTTTGTTTTTACGCAGAATTGCTTCCTACTGGCTGAAGAGTGTTAACTGGTTTATATCTTAAAGTTTGTGGAATTTAAGTTGCTTATTGAACTTAAATTTGGATTAACAGGGTTTGATTCAACTAATAGCCTTCATTCAATTTTAGAAGTTGAAAGCATAGATAGCTGCAGTTGATCGGAGCTTAGTTTTTGTGCATAGAGATTCAAGTTCTGGTTAATAATTGTTTTTGCAAAATTGAAAAAAGTATTTATTGGATAGCATCAAACTACGCTGTTACGAATTGAAATATTTGAGTTGAAAATTGTTAGGATTATGCTATACGAACATAATCCATTGTTAACGGTGTTCACACCCTCACATGGAGTATGAAGTGTGTCTCTCTCCATGTATAATGAATTATGTACGTGTAGCATAATTCAAATTGTTAATGGGAAGCAATAATTATAATCCTTCGAAAGCTTTTACAAAAGAGTATAGGGTGTGAAGCCTAGAGTACGGAGGCATGGTGCCTAGGCACCATGTGGATGGAGGCACGGCGATGTCTTCAGAGGTGTCCCCGCCCGCACAAGCGCTTTTTATTTTTATTTTTTTTACTCATAACATTTTTTCCTTTTCTCTTAATCAGCTAAAAGCCTGCAGATCGCATCACATGCTCGATCCTGACAATTTTTTTTTTACCTGCTGAATATCTTTCATTCCTTGGCCACGAAGGCATCCCTACACCATTGCGCAACAGCATCGTCTGTTTCTGGCAAATCCTTCATCAAGTGCCTCTTGAGGTGCACATCAACCTGAACAATATAAAACAGGAGGTTGCCTCCAAACGACATTTAACAGCAAATTCATTACTTTTAAGGCCATGCTCGAGGATCGGACAAGGCTTACCACAGAAGATTGCCCTTTAAAGAGTCTTAGCATGGTGGGCGCAGGCAAAGTTTTAGGAATAGCAACAGTAACATCATAAATAGTTGGAACAAATGAGAGTGTGTGACTTACTGCTGTTACGAAACCCTGAAAATTGCAATGTACATCAAAATGGTGAAAAAAAGTGAGCATTTCGAAAAAATTACAGCACTGTAGGACGAAACACTGCAAGAAAAAAATGCAAAACCGGAACACAATACCAAGGCAAATGGAAGTACTCCATTTCAAGTTAGAATAGAAGATGAAAAAAAAATTGTGCTGTAGCATTGGGTTATTATGAGAAGTTTCATTAAACTTTCTTCAAGATGTTGACACATCTGATTAAAGATGATGTTAAAAGGCTATATTATTTCATAATTGCATTCATCAACACACCAGTATGAGGCAGGTCTATAATTAATCAAGAGACAAAATGTCGAAAATTCATTTTTATATGTATTGATGACAGCAAGAGAAAGTAAGAAATAAAATTACACTGAGAACAACAGATTAGCAGGAGAGGTAATAATTCTTTCATTGTAGAAATAGGCATGTCCAGAAACCTTTGTACGAGGAATCAAAACATTTCTTGTAACAGGCAGTCCCGTTGAGGCTGCAAATTCTTGAGCAGCTAAAAGTTTTGCCTGAGTGAAGCCAGTACCCTCAACAAAAAGTGCCAACAAGAAGGGGAGTGGGAAATCCCTTAACCGTTGAAAACCTAACTGCAATAGATTTCAGGAAAATCAGAAGTTCTAAGAAGCACAAAATTGAAGAGAAAGACACGGTAGTATACACATTAGAAAAAAGATAACATGCACATACAAAACTAAAATTAAGAAAAAAAAAATCTTATCTTTAAACATACCATTGTTGGATTTAATTTCTTATGTAGGCTACATGGTTAAAATATAATTATATTGGGCTATCTAAATTCATGGGCCGATCAAGTGATCTAATTGTTGGGCCCTAGAAACGTCTAATCGGTATGGGCTTTGCAATGTGTAGAGACCGGGCTAGTCCAATTAGGGTTGATGGAAACCTAATCGACTAGTATTTAAGGACATGTTATGTGGTTATGGTCCCCAAGCCAAATCATAATATTGTTTCAGGATTCTCTACTGTATCCATCTCAGAGAGAAATCAATTGAACGCTAAGGACATTTGGCTATAGAAGATCAAACCCTGTTTCAGACAACGCCAATGGATTCAGGTAATTTTCATTTTACTTGTTTTGATGATTTAACATGATTGATCTTGGGAATTAAAGAATTAAAGATTTTGGACTTACAACCATACCTTTAGAGTGCTTTCATCCTTGGCCCAGCTTCTTTCAAGAAAAAGGTACTCAGAAAACCACATAGACCATCCTATCACCTGCATAATGCAGATAACAATATACTCATTCCCATGTCTTACTCTACCAGGGCCTCCAACAAAAGGCAAGAATATAAGAAAATGTAATCGATAGAAAGAATAGAATAGCTGAGCAGGGTAAACTTGGCAGTTCTATTTGCTCAGTCATCAGTTGATAAGTACATAACTACGAAAACAACAAAAATAGCATTAACTTCTTTCTAATAGGCCTGGGCATGGTTTAGGTTGGGTTGGTTTTGAGTCCAACCCGAAACCGAAACTGACTTGGTCGGATTCCAACCCAAA